TGTTGCTGATCTTTGCGCCCTTTGCTTCTTTAGGGAGGGGAGAGATGGGGATGAGTTCTTATTTCCTGCGTGTATGTTGTCATGAGTCAGAGTGGGACTGGCTGCCTCACATTGGGTCTTGTCCCCCTGCAAAGGAATGGGAAGAGACCATATCCTCCATCCCAGCCTGTTGCCTGTAAATCTATGTTTTTTTCCTTTAAAAAAGCCCCCACAAACTTTATTGTTGAAAGTATTACAGATATCCCCTTTCCCCCCATTAACTCCCTCCACCTCTCACCCGCCCCCCTCCAGGCCTTCTATTGTTTGTGTCCATGGGTTATGCATATATGCATATAAGTTCTTTGGTTAATTTCTTCCAATCTTCCCCTCTTCCCTCAGAATCCTCAGTCGGTTCCATGCTTCTGTGTCTCTGGATCTGTTTTGTTCATCAGTTTATTTTGTTCATTAGAAACCACATATGAGTGAGATCATGTGATACTTGTCTTTCTCTGCCTGGGTTATTTCGCTTAGCATGACACTCTCCAGTCCCTCCGTGCTGTCTCAAAGGTTAAGAGATCCTTTTGTTTTTGTATTTACAGGTGCGTAATATTCCATGGTGTAAATGTACCACAACTTTTTTATCCATTCATCTACTGATGGGCACTTAGGCTGTTTCCAAATCTTAGCTATGGTAAATTGTGCTGCTCTGAACATAGGGGTGCATATATTCTTTCTGATTGGTGTTTCTGGTTTCTTAGGAAATATTACCAGAAGTGGGATCACTGGGTCAAATGCGGTTCCATTTTTAATTTTTTGAGGAAACTCCATACTGTCTTCCATAGTGGCTGCACCAGTCTGCATTTTCACCAGCAGTGCACGAGGGTTCCCTTTTCTCCACGTCCTTGCCAGCACTTGTCATTTGTTGATCTGTTGATAGTAGCCATTCTGTCACCTTACTCTTTAGGCAGGAGAAAGTGGTAGAGAGATTTAACATCTTCCACACCAGGAGGAGGGGATTTCAAAATATGGAGCTCGATTTGGAAGCAGTTGCACACAAAGCACCATTCAGGAAATGCATCGCTCGCTCTGCAGAGCTTTATGCCCTGCTTTGGCTAAGGACTTTTGACTTATGTGTGCTGTTTCTTCTGATATTTCAGTTTACATATAATGCTATGAATCAAGACATCATATCTGCCAGGAGCTACTGTACATGGACTGGGCTTAACTGTATAGATCAGCCATGGGCAAACTACGGCCCGCGGGCCGGATCCAGCCTGTTTGAAATGAATAAAACTAAAAAAAAAAAAAAGACCGTACCCTTTTATGTAATGATGTTTACTTTGAATTTATATTAGTTCACACAAACACTCCATCCATGCTTTTGTTCCGGCCCTCCAGTCCAGTTTAAGAACCCATTGTGGCCCTCGAGTCAAAAAGTTTGCCCACCCCTGGTATAGATGTTTCTTTTTAAATCACAGAAACCAGAAATGAGGTTGAGTGAAAAGCAATGATGAGCTCTGGTATAGGGGAACTGCCTGCACTTTAAAAATTTCTCGTTCTTGCTGAGTGGTACTTATTTGTAAACTGGCTTTCATTTCCAGGACAGATTTTGGTTTTTATTTTTTCTTGAATGTACTGTGACACAGCACTGATGAAGTTGGACCTCAGTAGTTCAATTTTATTTACTTTAATTGTTTTGATTCCTATCTCCATGCCCCTTTAAAAAATGGACTTTGATCTAGTATTCTTTTTGGCCTGTCAAAGCTGAATAACAAAGTTTTGCCTTTTTAATTTTTTTTAAATTGATTTCAGAGAGGAGGGGGGAGAGAGAGAGAGAGATAGAAACATCAAGGATGAGAGAGATTCATTGATTGGCTGCCTTCTGCACGTCTCCCCCCCTGGCGGGGAGGGGCGGGGTTGGAGTGGGGGCAGGATCAAGCCCACAACCCAGGCATGTGCCCTTGGGTGGAATCAAACCTGGGACCCTTTAGTCCACAGGCTGACGCTCTATCCACTGAGCCAAACCAGCTAGGGCAAAGTTTTGCCTTTTTAGTTTGTCCAAGTCACACATGTGAGTTTTCCCATAGGGGTAAAATGTAGACCAAAGTAGAATCACACTACTTTTAATTTGGCCCACTTGTGTGTTAACATTCCTAATTCTGTATCTTGTTCCTCTCCTTTCCTCATCAAGTTAGATATTTTTCATTATTTATTCATTCAGCAAATGGTAGAGTGCCTACTGCATGCCAGGCATTGATGGCAGGAGTCAGCTTTTGCTATAGTCTCATTTGGAAGCTGATCCATACCTCTATTTCACTGGCTGCCTGAAAGTAATTTGAGCAAAGTGCTGTGGGAACTTAAGAGCAAGCATTTCTGCTTGGAGTTTGTTAGGGAAGGCCTCACATAGTCAAAATCCCACTTCAGATTGGTGTGGAATTTTGACAGGTACATTGTGAGCAGAGGGACTAACATATAGGGTGTTGCGTTATGAGATCTGCATATAGTTAATCCGGTTGAAGCACACAGTGTCTGGGATTGGTGCGGTAGTCAGGGGCTGGTGTATTACTCATTTCAGAGCCCTTAGCACTTTGTCTTGCTCACAGCAGGCACTCAAATATTTACTGAACTAAATTGAACAGAAACAGGAAGGATTTTGTCTGCCAAATTAAGAAAATTGGACCAGGAGAATGTCATAATGACATTTGCATTCCAGAAAGATATCTGCAGCAGTGGAGAATAGTGAGGTCCAGATGGGGGTTAGGGAGACAAAATAGGAGCTGTTACACTATAGGTGGTAAGTGCTCAGGGCTTCTCGATTCATAATTGTCTGGGTTTGAATCTGGCTGTGTCACTCACTATGTACCCTCTTTTTTTTCTTAGGTTCTTCATTTCATAGGGTTTGGGGGATGAAACTTGGAAAAACATCTATATTACTTCGAGTAATGCTTGGCACGTGGTTAGGACTTGGTAAATGTGAGTTATTTTGTGTGCAGGCAGTGGAAGTACAAATGATTTGTCTTTTAGGAGGTATAATTGGTTGGATTAGGTAAGTGACTGGATATGATTAATGAGAGAGGGATGGTTCCTAGGTTTTTTGACTGGAGGCATTGGAGTGTACTGGTTAAGCTTGCTGTGGAATCAGAACAAGGGTTAAATTCTATTACCCTCAGAATTACCATCCTGACTGAGTGTTGGTTTCCTAATGTTTCAGAAATGATCATA